AATTGAATGCGAGGTATGAGGTATATTTATATAATTCTACAGCAATGCCTACACCTTAATTGAAAAAGAAAGAACTTTTGATATTGACACTAACATAACACTCAACTCAGCTAAACTGATGGTACTCAGGGTACAGGCAATTTACCTGCAATTGGTAAATCCCCTATTCCAACAGAAATTCCTAAAAGGATATGTCCCTGTGATAACCTGCACTGTATTGTGGGTAATGAGAAAGGAATTTGTGATGTGACTCCCAGTATCTTGATGATTCCCTTCTATAACGCTCGTGAACACTTGGGCCCAAGTACACCTGAACACCAGTGTGTACCAGTAATGCAGAGTATGTGCACTAGACCATTGGGTTTGCTGTGCCCATTTGTTACACCAAGAGCCAGTTTTAACATTTGGATGAAAATAGGGAAGGCCGGTTCTTGGCCCTGAAAAGGGGTAAGTCCATATGATAACTGGGTCCACCCGAGCGACTAATCTATAGTGAGCTCATAAGTTGCTACATCTTCTGTCTGAAGCCAAAATGACCAAAAACGGTGTCTTCCTGGGGTCTTCCTTCACAAATTGAAAGGATCCCAAAGACTAATGACAAGAACCAACATCACTGGCGGATCAAGAAATTCGGTAAGGGGTGCGCTCCTATTGACGGAGCCAATGGCCACGTCTGCGCACCTCCAGTGGGCTGGTTTTGGGCTTCATGAAAGTACTGCAAGGCTCTGGTATATCCACTAACATGTCAAAAGGACTGGAGCATAGTGCTTGATGGTTCCTTTGAATAAATTTCATGCTGATTGAAGCCAGATATATTCTGTAAGCATATAGGTGGAAACAGCTTAGGCATCACAGATATTTTCTTGTTGGTTTGTTGTGCAGGACACCCCACTGTTAGGGAGTCTTGACTATGTGTCATCTCATTAGTTGAGGTATGACGGGCACTCTGAACAACATGTGGTTGGAGATGGTACACCAAGATTGCGCCTTGCTGCAGATGTCTAGGTCGTATATCCAGCAGAAAACACTGTTTTGATCTGGTATGTAATGTGGAATGAGGTCCCACATATGTCATCACCTAAACCACCCTGATGTTTTTGAGATCACGTGGGGATATCCCTCTAAATCTGCTGTGGCTTTGCCCTGGGGATGGAGCACTGAAGTTCTAGTCTCTACTTTCATCTCTAGGTATATCACACATTGCACTAAGATCTGTCTATGTATCCGCAAACTGCAATAACCCCAGGAAAGACAGAGTGTACATTACTAGCGTCATGAATAGTGGCAGAGAGATCCAGCCGACTAAGCATGGCTACTCTTATTTCACTTTAAAACCATGTGGTATCGGTACTGTAAGGAATCTGGGTCAAATATAGCACAGTGTGATATGAGAGTATACCACAATTAAACATCTTACAAACTATTTGAGATTTGTGCAATTCTACTGACACAAAATATATATCAGGCTGTACTGAATATGTCCAGATACGAAGTATAGTGGGAAGTATCGCATGTGGACCTGTGGAAAGAGCAAACCTGGTGTTAGAATACCAGACTGACTCCTGTACAACAGTGGGCTGCACCTTGAAATCTTGAGCATATAGCATGTGGTTTGATCACAGGGAGCCCAGGAACTATGATCAACTGTACGCACTCCCTATGAGCGGGGTGGGGGGGGGGAGGTATCGGCTGGTATCTAGTGTAAGAAATAGACAAGGGATGAAGGCTCCAGCCAGCTCACATTGTTTAAACTCGAAAAAATAGACAAAAAGAATGAAAAATAAAATCTAAAAAAATACCAGGTTGAAGAATATTAGTTGCTCCTTCGAATTTCGCCAAAACCTTACCTACATTTTACCCATATCTGCAGAATAGATCAAGAAAACTACACAAATTTACTCCATTTAGGAATTCCTAACGGTTAGTCCGAACGCACGACACAGTTGGAGGCGTGGCCTGTTCAGCATTTGTCAACAACCAATCACAAGACTGGTTACGAACCAGTTGAGCAAGGCTAACTGAGTCGTGACCTCCATGAGACACATTAAAAATAATTCAAAATTACTTGTGCTTGATTGAGATAGTGATGGAAAAGCTGAAAACCAATAATGCAAATCAGATAATTAATATGAACAGATCTGAATGTAAAACTAATGAGGTCTGCACAATGTAACAGACCATCTATGTACCAAGTTTTATTGAAATCTGATTGGAACCAAAAAAAATTATGAATTATTATGCTAATTAGGGAATTAATATAAACAAATTTTAACCCCAAACTAATCAGGTTTGTACATTGTCCTAGAGCATCTTTGTACCAAGTTTCATTGAAATGGAATAATTAGTACTTTAGATATCAGTGTGATAGCTTAAAAGTGGTTAATTATGCAAATTATTAATTAATATGTACAGATTTTAACCCACAATTATCCAGGTCTGTCTATTGTCCTACAGCATCCATGTACAAAGTTTCATTGAAATGTGATGATTAGTACTTGAGAAATCAGTGTGAAAGCTGAAAATTAATTAATTATGCAAATTAGGTAATTTATATGCACAATTATTTACCCTAAAACTAATCAGGTCTCTGGATAGTCCTGAAGGATATATGTACCAAGTTTCATTGACATGTAATGCTTACGACTTGAAACATCAAAAGCTGAAAATTAATTATGCAAATTAGGTAATTAATATGCACTGATATTACCCTAAAAACTATCAGGTCTGTGCAGTGTCCTATGACATCTATGTACCAAGTGTTATTGAAATGTGATTAGTACTTGAGATATCAGTGGATAAAACGAAATTTGACGAATCATTATGCAAATTAGGTAATTAGTAATTAGGTAATTCTTACCAAAAACTGATCAAAACCTAGCATTAGTTTAGAGCATCTATGTACCAAGTTTCATCAAAATCCAATGAGTGGTTGTTTAGATATCAGTAGAACAGTCATAAAACAGCTAAAAATTAGCTAATTATCATGCAAATTAGGTAATTAATATGTACGGATTTTTACCAAAAACTAATCAAATCTGCGCACAAGTTCAGAGCATCTATATACCAAGTTTCATCAAAATCCAATGAGTGGTTCTTTAGATATCAGTAGAACAGTCATAAAACAGCTAAAAATTAGCTAATTATCATGCAAATTAGGTAATTAATATGTACGGATTTTTACCAAAAACTAATCAAATCTGCGCACAAGTTCAGAGCATTTATATACCAAGTTTCATCAAAATCCAATGAGTGGTTCTTTAGATATCAGGGGAACAGTCATGGAACAGCTAAAAATCAGCTAATTATCATGCAAATTAGGTAATTAATATGCATGGAATTTTATCAAAACCTAATCAAATCTGTGCATTGGCCGAGGGCATCTATGCACTAAGTTTCATTAAAAACTGATGTACGGTTCTTGAGATATCAGTGGAACAGACGGACGGACACACATACACACACGCACACACACATACAGACACACTAACCGCAAATAACTTTCACAAAAATAGAAATATCTTCACCAAATGAACAAGAGGACCAGCCGATGTGTCTACATTATGAATCGTAAAGCAATCTGGCAGGAGGTTTTGGAGATGAAGTTAAAAATATGCAAAAGCAAAAAAGTAAGGAAAAAAAACAAAAAGCATTTACTGAAATTGACACGTACATACGATCTCATGAAATTAGTAAGACAGAGTCTAGTCCATGTCAATAACATTAATGCCAAATTTAAATGCAATCTGATGAGCATATTCCCTAAAAATAGAGATTTGGATGTGATGTCATGAAATGCAAAAATCACCAACCCAGATAGCAATATCATCTCCCTCTCACTACAGACAATACACTTAGAAGCGATTATTCATTAAAGGTATAGAGAAACCATTTATTAATTTATTAACTATGGCAATTGATACAATGAATTATATCAAAGTAATCCAAGAGGCAAAAGAGCAGTGAATTATCTCACAGATGCTGATTTGTGACCAATACTAACACGGTTAAGATAACTTAATAGACGAATTCATGGTTCAGTTATGAGAGAATTGGTGAGTGAAAAGATATTAACAGAGGAGTAGCTTCAAATATCAAACTGTATCTAAAACAGATTACACTGGATTAAAATCTTGGCTTTCTGACTATGACAGAATCACATTAGTGGGGTGGTATGGGCAGGGTATGGTGCTGAAGGGAGGGAAAGGGATATATACAGTTATTTTGTTTGTAATCTTCCTGGATGACAGTATTATTATCTTTCAGACATAGCGTAATAAAGACATAGCATATAAAGTACAAATAGAAATAAAGACAGCATGACTGACATCACACTAGTACAGCTTTCATTGATGTAAACTGTATCAAGCACAATAATCTATCTGCAATTGAAAAGTTTTTAATTACACATGTAAAAAAATCTCAAAACTTTTTAACTTAAATAATATTTGTTTGTACACTTTTAGAAATATAGTAACAAATAAATAGCATAATAATGGGTTTATATTTTGATTTACAAGTCAATTTTTGGATTATAATAAATGTCTGTTTTTCTACAATTTATAGTTGACCCAATAATGTCTACTATTATAATGACACACAGAAAATATATTGCAGTAAGTATCTGATGGATATAAGTATATAAAGCACATCATGAAAATATTCATAATAAGGCAATGCTATATAGGTATAGTAATGTCAACAAATATAGAGTAAACAAAACAAACACTTGTTTCTTTCATACAAACATGGAAAAACAAATCATGCAGATAAATATATGGTTGGTAACCATAGAAACCTGACAATGTTCAAAATAAGAACTGATTTCAATATGAAGTAGAAAATGAATTTCAATGTACATATTTTCAAGTTCTGATAACCAGTTAATTATCTGGAATAGTCTTGTTATTTATAAACAAAATCCAGGAAGAAAAACGTAAGCAGATATAAAATTTAAAAAAATACATAAAGTTTTGTTCTGCACATCATATCTGGACTGTTTTTTACTGTCTGTCTATGGTGTTAAAAAACCATTCTGTAAATTTGCGTAGTTGAGTTGCAGCTGTCTGTGACTCTTCTTGGAGTCTAACGTTGTCTTCTCTTAACTGATTCACTTCAGATTCAAGGGCCAGCCTTTCATGTCTTTCCTGATAAAAAAAAAGTATAAAATAATTTAACCTTTAATAAGTCTTACACTTTCTAAATATATTTGGATGGCTGAATTTGCATATAATTTTCTGTAGTATTTCAACTGCTGTGAAACATCCTAAAAATGATTGCATATATATATATATACCTACAAATTCACAAAACCATGTACTGACTGACAAGTCATTCACTCAATGGCACACCCAGAAACCTTACCTTTGATAACTGCCTTGTTAGTTGTTGTAACTGTATCTCAAGATCACCAGCATTCAGTTCTGCTTTCCTTTCTCCACCTCCACTGCAAAACAAATGACGAACATTAAATTCAATGCTTAACATGCAGAAATCAGAAACCTACTTCATCAAATGGATCAGATTAAGAAATACAATGTATCCAATATAATCCCAAATGTCTATATTATAATACTTGCCTTCTGATCTTATTTGTGCTATCAAAACCATTGCTAAAAGCCAAGTCTGTATGTCTTCGTTCATGGTTCCGAGTTACATGATGTGTTTGCTGACGTGTATTGCTAGTAGCAGTCGGTTGTAACTGGAATTCAGGCATCGACTCTGCTATCTCATCCAGGGTTCCAATGGAGGCAGATTTCACACTCTGCATATCTAAACCTACATTAGGAAAGAATAAGATAGTTTATAGATCATGCATGTTTACGCACTCAACAATTCAGGCAATACAATTTCCCCCAAAATATACTGAAGTCAAGTCTTACAACTAGAGCCAACTGCATCTAAAGAGTAGTATGTGTTAGTGATAATTGACAGAACAAGGCTGAAATACCACAACCGATAGTTTACATATAAACTGTTATCAGCAGGAAACAGAGCTTCCTGTTGCAACACAAATCTGACCCTTTGGCAGGCCACTGAAATTGGAAACAGGGGAGCAACTAACACAGATAAATCATAAGTATGATAACATCATGGCCATGAAAGCTTTTAAAAATTATTGTAGTGACACAGAAATGAGCCAGTCACCAAATCTGACTTCATATATAGATACAGTACTATTATTTAATGTATATGAAGAAATTACATATGAGAAAATAAGACAAGTAAATCAGAATATGTACTTCACCTTCAAAGCTTTTCGCAGTTTCTACTAAACTTGACCATTCTAGGCTGGAACCTGAATCGGGAAGTGGAAAAAGTGATCCACCGGAGTTGCCACTGACAACAGTTTTATCGATAGCCGTGTGATCCCCACCTACAACACAATAGCCAGAGTATTAAACACAGTCTCACATATATACAAAACATTTTAGTGTTGAATAATACATTTCCTCTAATAGAATGGCACAATGCTGGAGTTGTCATTGTTAACACTCATTGTTAGCAACTTTATTGCAAGGAAAGTATTTATTTTTTATCAAGCTTTTCTGTAATGTAAATTTGTTCATGTAATTAATTAAATTTATACCTCAGCTAAGAAACACAAAACAACATATTAAGTTACCATAGCTTACAAAAATTAAGAAACAAAGGTAAAGTTGACATAAAAAATGTGGCAACAGTGAAATGGGCACATTGCTGATGGTTAAGTTAGTTGACTAATGACAAGCCATGCATGGCACAGTCCCCGTTAGTTATCAAATCTAAGTTTATAGTTTTGTTTTGAATTTCATCTGAAAAACAAAATGACGTGCATCAAGGTCCCATAATGTCAGTACAATATGCACGCACAAACACAGACACATGGACGCACAGAGGTCAATGCATAAGTCCCTGTTTTCGGACTGCGTCTACTGAAACAGCAATTGTCATAAAATTATCACCTCTGATATTGGTTGTCTGTACAGTCATTCTTGAAGGGAATGTGGATTTCTTTGTACTAGTGAATATTAAATCATTTGGTACATCTAGTGCTGACTCTCGTCGTAGTTTCCTTGTTGTTCCACCACCAGAGAGACTTTCATCAGAGAGAGTACGATGAAGTGATAATCTTGTAAAGGTGGCAGGTGTTGACTGCAGCATTCCAGCACGTCTTGGCTGTAAATTGAATAGAGATTGTATAAAACATGATTTCAAGGGGGAACAAATCTGAAACATCTGATATAAAATACTGTATGGTTCATTTCATCACACTGAACCATTTAAATGTTATTCGGCCTAAAATTACTGTTTTCAGTTTTATAGTACTTGTAGTGCTTCTATTGGTTAGACAACACCACCAAACAGTACTCATCGGAAAATGCATCGAGAACATTGTTCGTTAACACACCTACTTGACTGCTTTGATGTCTTTCGAAAAGTCCAATATTTCCTCAACAATTTCCCACTGATTTTTTTTTGGGGGGGGGGGGGGTAAGGGGATACAGTTTTACAACATTCAACACCAATGGGCATATATCTGTAGAACCAGTTTGCATATTAGATAGCAGTGACTGTGACTGCCAAGCATACACATACACAGAGTGTGTAATTGTTACACAGTGGAGCCAAGTAAAGAAAAGACAACCATCAAAGAATGCAAAGAAAACATGTAGCATCTGCTTAACACAATGCACACATAAATTATTAAATCACCACACAGCAAATAAGAACATTCAATTTAACTTAAATTGGGTCAAATTCTTGCTACAACCTCACTAAAAAGACACTAAGTATGCATTTTTAGTAAGCAAACTCAGTGGAGAAAAGGAAATTCATATAAAGAGAAGCCATTCATTCTTTGTTCTAGAGCTGCATAGTGTTTTTAATTAGCTGCTACATTATTTATAGTTAGTAAACAAATTAAGCAAAGCAAATAAAGACAATTTTTATTTTACTCTCATTCTCAACAGGAGAAAAAAATGAATGTATGGAAGAGGTACAACCCATGCTTGGATTTGCCAGGTCAGGCTGCAAATGCAGATCTCTACATGCCTCTACAGCCTGGTGCGGAATCGTTGAAACAGTATTTACCCGTACCCAATGACTGGGAAAGCCTGGAAAACTGGCCTGAAATAAGTTGAACTTTTGACGTCTAGGCTGAGGATGAGAAAGCTGGAATCTGATCTTGCATTTTCCACTTCGACTCTGGTATTTTGGACCACTCTTATTAACACAGGTGCCCCAAACTAGGGGGAACCTTGGTAAGGTGGTCTGAAAAGAGGTGTTGCATCTAGGCCTGATACGCCTAAGGGAAGGAGAGTTGAGAATATTCACCTTAGAGGAGCCTCGTGTTATTTCACTATCAGGAATATCAGGATTGATTAATTTTAAAAGGTCTTCTTTGATACTGGTTGGCTGATGTACAGGATATTTAGGTGCAGATTTAGCTGTAGCACCTGGTCTTAGACGACTTGTTAGAGATTCATTTGATGACATCAACCTGAGGATAAAGAAGAAAATGTCCACTCCAACTTGATGGCTACAATGTATTTCTTGAAAAAACAAGACAATCACACAAGATTTATGTTCAAGAACAGTTTTAGATATATTAAAATATATCAGGGTTATCATTTGTATGATAAAATTACCTGGATGAAGGTTTAGGACTGCTACCATCACTACTTGATGACACACTTTTCTTTATCTCTCTGATATCTGGACTAGCTGAATGCATTGCATGTCTTACTATCAAGGGACTTCGTGATCCATGAGCCATCTGACTTGGTGTACTTTGCCGAGACCGACTGGAACGATTTGAACTACCAGAGTGAGAAGATATCTCACTAAGATTTGTAATACTATTGACAGGCTTCTCAAATGCACTGTTTTCTGAAGGCAGAGCTGGTTGGTGCTTACGATGCATATCACGTTCTCTTGGTGGATATGTTTTATGAAGAAAAGGAGGATTAATGGGGGGATGTGATAAATGTTCCACATGTGCAGGCCTCTCAGTGTCCCAGTATCTAGCATGTGTTTTAACATTGGCAGTGTCCTGACTAACAGCGTCATAGGTCACATCCGCTGCAATGATTCCTGAGACCTCATCTTCATGGAACTCATCTCCAGTATCATACCATTTCTCTTCACTGGTAGCAGTACTTGTACTTGTTCCACTGGTACTTGTTAATGACGTATCCCCACTGGATATTGATACTGAAGCGGCATGCTGCAGAAAGGTAAGAATGGTATACTCAAGTCTGTAAACGCTTACATTATATCACAAGAGAGAGCTTCTACTACACATCACACCTTCAGGGATAGCCAAAATGAATGAGGGAAAACAGTATCTGCTGACAATGTATTTTGATTTGCTGGGAGAACACCACATCATTTGTGTAAGGATTCCAGACGACTTACATTTATGTTTAGGTCAAAAACAGTAAATACTAATAAATGTTTTCAACATTAAATAATTACAAAACAAAATTCAGGCTATTAAGGTCAAAAACACAAGTTTTCATTTTCTCAGATATGATATTTGATGTCATTCAATGTTACCTTAGGTGCAGGTGTGAATTTTTCTGCCTCTGTAAATGCTGAAGCTGCACTACAACTAAGTGGTAGACGACTCATTGCATTGGTCTGCTTTGCATCATGATATGCTGATCTGTTTGCAGCAAACTGTTGTCCCTGTCTATTAGCATGAGCCTGCATGTTTTGTAAATGTCTGGCATTTTTACTGCTTCTTGCACTTTGCCTTTCCCGACTTTCACGGGATAGCATAGCATCTGATTCCCTGGACATTCGACTGCTATCCAGACTAGAATCAAGTCCAGAACTGTGGTTCTCATTGGATAAATGGTGACTAGGTTTCTGTGACCTGTCGCCAGAGGTACGCCGTTGTCTCCCTGAATCTCCCTCACCCCGATAACGTTCATTATCATGTATATTTTTATCATCTTTCCTTTTCTCCACTTCACTAGATTGGAATCGTTGTTCCAAGTTCACAGCTGTTGTGGTCCTTGCTTCATTATAAGATGGAGGGTTGTCCCTCTTTGAAAGGGAATAATCAGGAGGTAGCCTTAATTTCTGTTCATTTCTTGATGCAGGAGGCGTTAGCTTGGTGCCAGTTAACACACTGGCTGGTGAGCTGGAAGACCTGCTATGAGGACTGTGTTCTATAAACAAAATGCACAAAACAAATGTCAGCTACTTGTGCAGCTTGCATTAAAGTCACATGACACAAAAATAGTATAATAATACAAGTGCAGTCTGTTGTACCTAAAAATAGTCACAATCCTAGGACAATATATCTTATCCCCAAGGACAGCAAAAAGAAATTACTGAAAGTCAAAATCATTAAAGCAATTAAGCTGACCTTTACACATGGGAAATATAACTGTCAAATTTAGTAGCGTGTAAGAACTATTCTTTGATATCCTCAACCGTAAACTAGATTGCATCTTACTTTATATCCTGGATACAAATTCTTTTCAGAAAACAACCAATTAATATTATTTATACTATTATATATGAATTTTGAAATTTTTTTAAATAAAAAGTGGTAATAAAAGGTTGGAACCAAACATGCCTGTGTATCAAAAATGAAAATATACATGTAAACATGTGTGAAAACAAATGTAAAATTGATAGACAGGCTTGTCCCTGCGTTGTCAAGATATCACATGCTGCTTGAAAGCCACAAGTCAGTGCATTTCAAACCATACCAGATGTATAACCTAAGACGAGGTGAATGACTTATAAGCATTGCTTAAGTGCTATGTATTACAAGCAAACTTTCTAGTTTGTTATCCACTGAAATCTGTCAGTTAACCTGTTAGAGGTGGTTCACCCTACTAATGAGGTACTTGGAATTGAATAGAATACAATAAAAGCTTTCTCTCGCAACTAGAGAGGCAACTTGACATGATGGTCAGGAGCTGCAGGCCACAATATTATTAACACATGGGAATTAGAGGAACACAGGAAGAACTCTTTAATTATTTATTATCTCTATATTAATCTTACTGCAAGCTCTGATACATCAAGGTCCTTTTTCTCCAGAGGTTATCAAACTTATCACATCTGCAATCTTTTACAGGCATTAAATTTGCATTGCATTTATCAGGAAAATGTGATGAGGTTTTCATCTCAGTGAATGATAAACATGCATGATACAAAAAACATGTCTACTGAAGTTTTTCAGTTATTAAATAGATATCAAAGAAAGCTTAGAAGAATTCCTGTGTGCTGTGGGTATTAAGGGCATAAAGGGCAGAAATACAAAATATTGAAAAAGAATTAAAATTTAAGATTAGCCTTTTAAACAAAATGTATATACCTGTATAACTCTGATATTAGGAATGTACAATGTGAAAGCAATCTGATTAACAGTATGAAAGTTTATATATGTAATACTAACAGATTGTACACATGTGATTAGTGGTTTGATTTTCATTTTAAATCTGGTAAATGGGTTATTGAGATATTAGATAATTGCCAAAATCATGCAAATTAGGGGATTAATATGCATGACTAATCATGTGAAAACCAATTACTATACAAATTATATTATAGGCTAATTTATGCAAATTAGATAATTCTTAAGCACAGATTGCAATTCAAATCTAAGCAGACCTATGGAATACTCAGTATCGCTATCTAAAGTTTATTGAAATTTGTTGAGTGGTTCTTGTGATTCAAGTGAGAAATTGGCAAACATGCACAGTAGGCAAACAATATGCAGT